AAAAAAGGAAAAAAAAAAACTTATGGAGCTAGGAGGGACAGTCAAAACTTCATATAACTATATAAGAGAGTGTGTGCAACTCAATTCAAAAGCAGTAAAATAAAAATACAAGAAAAAAAAAAAATGAATCTCATAATTTAATTAGCTTAAAAAAATCCATTTTCAAGGCCCTTTTAAACAATCCTTTAGCTCTCTCCTTCTATATATATACCTCACTATTGCTCCACGGCTCGACGAGCCAAGGACAATTGTAGTAATCGAGCTTATGCTGATATACTCAGCAAGCCCTCTTGCCACGTCGTGGTCTTGTAAAATCACCTCCTTCGCACGAATCTAACAACCACAACAACAATAAAATCTTCAGAGAAGCTCTAAAATTACGAAAACCAAATTTATACATTAGTGATCAGATGAAAAAAAATGGTATATATCAAATCTTAACACCCAAAATTCACAGAAAAGTTCAAATGCTATTGTTATAAATGTTATAATTACCCCTTTTCGTGCACAGAAACTACGGTAAGGAAGAAACAACTGCTGTGTTTCAGCTTGAGTAGGTTCGCGGCCTTCTTTAGGAGCGGCTGCACGACATTAAAATTATTATTTGTAACAACTCAATATATTTAATCAGAAAATCATCATATATCATGAAATGAAACACGTTTGGAATTTATTCTTAATTCATGAGAAATTGCAAAATTGGATAAAAGCACTTGAGATTCTTTAACACCTAGCCGGAGTAAAGTTTGAGGCCAATCCCGGGCGATAATATATTTAACTACACCAATAATTTACAATTAAAATAACTATATTAAGTAAGCCCCTAATTTTGGGTCTAAAATGTAAACATATCTCATTTCCGGTTTCGAGTACAATTCTCATGAGATTTCTGAGGCAGTATTGAAATTCTTGCTAAGATCTATACATCGAAGATATGTGAATTAGCCATAGACACTACAAAGCCAAAACCAAAAACACTAACAAAAAAAAAATAAAAAAAATGGCATATTCCAACAAACAATCATACGATAATATATTCCAACCGATATGCCAATGATATAGCTTCCGTTGGAATGATTCCAACAAAAATTTCAACGAAAATATTTCGTTGGAATGAGTTTTCCATTAGAATTTTAGATGGATTTCCAACGGCTTTTTACTATTGTGAAGTTTCTGTTGGAATATTTATTTCCACCCATATTTCAACCATGGAAACTCTACTGTTGAAATCGTCAAAATCAAACAGAAATTTCAATAGAAAACTCATTCCAAAAAAAAATTTGTGTTTGAATTTCCGTTGAAATCCACTGAAAAATTCCAACAGAAATAACAACATTCGAATATCCATTTGGACTGCCGTCGGAATTCTATTGAAACATATTTCTGTTGGAATTTCGTCATTTTCTTGTAGTGAAAATTAAAAGAAGGAATGAAGATGGAAAGACAGAATACCCACAAGAATCAAGACTGTAATGGGTTCGAACGTGTACGAGGATGATCTGTTTATCCTTCAATCTCAATTTGTCGATAGCCCACTTCACGGCAAATTGACTGTTCTTGTCTTTGTCGATGGCAACCGCTGTCGGGATTATGATTCTGCTTTCTTGCGGTGGATTCTGGTCAAAATTCGACATTTTGAAAACACGTTATTGTTTCTTTTTTCCCTTTTTTTTCGGTATGTAGTTTAATTAATTGTTACGAGGAGGATGCACAAGAGGATCGGAGGAGAGTGGTGGTCGATGGCGGCCTTGCCACCACGACAAATGGCTGTGATTGGAAGCTAACGGGGCGGCTCCGCCATGCATGCATGCATGCAATTCTCGCCGGTGGAGGGATTTAATGAAAGAATTTAATTGAAAATGTTATTGAATGAAGGAGAAAGTGAAGATATTTGACTCTTTTGACCACCTTTTGAGAGTTTAGTGCACGAATTAATTAGGGGTTGGGGTTTTGTTTGTCAGAAAAATTCGGAAACAAGTGCATATTAGGTCGTTCTATTTTAAGGGGAGGCAAGAAAATTAGAAAAGAATTAAATGAATTCTATGAAGAAATTTGTCCAAATAGGAACAAATACAAAACCAAAAATGGTGAATTTTCAATCAATTATTATGGATCAATTGATGGATATCAATATACCAATATACTAGTGTATACATCATTATATAAACTAATTGAATGAATCCATAAACTCATATATAATACTCCCTCTTATTTTCATTATTTGTCATTTTGGCATAATGGATCATTGATTAAATAAATGTCGTTTTGGCTATTTTGTTTATATTTTTTCATTTTTAACCCTCCAACAATCTACGGTGTCTCTTCATATCTCATCTCCATAGTTTCTCATAACATCCATTAAATAGGGTTAATATTGGCAAGAAAAGAAATTTTTAATTAGCGTGTTGATTCTCAAAACGACAAATAATAAAAATAGGATGGAGTAGTATATATTAATCATTACAATTATGTATAGAAAAACATTGTTTATATGAATCAATTGTCTATTTTTCTAATAATCCTAAAAGTATCATTTGTGTGTATTTTTAGGTTAGAGATGTTTATTTATTTTTATCATATGTACAAACAATTTACATTTGCAATAAATAAACAAAATAAAAATTTTATGTGTATTAAAATCTTGTTTCAGTTACATTGCATGCCAGTAAGGCGACCCATTAACAATGCTTCACTCTCAAACTCCTATTGGTACAAGTTATATTCAGTACTAGGGACCATTATGCAATTTTTTATTATTTTATAAAATAACTAACCAATTAAAGTGCTTTTTTATGCATGTCAATGTCAAAAACTTGGAAGCAATCTTAGAAAACTTTTGAACCAATCCCATGAAGCCATCTAGCAATTTTTTAACCACCAAATTTCTTGTTAGAGGAAAAAATGTCAAACATATAAACACATAGATTAATGTTGCCGTACCTACGATGGATACATTTTAATATGTCTGCCGCTTATGTGGAATGTCTACGTTAGTGATGTATTTTTTTGAACATATTAACATCACTAATGTATATATGCCACATAAACGGTGGACATATTAACATGTGCCCACCGTGAATAGGTAAGCATTATTGTAAACACATATGATGCAAGTTCCTCCAACTAACACCCATCTTTTTTCTCTTTCCCAACCTTTTATATTTTCTCATATTTCATCTTTTTTTTTTCTTTTTTCTTTTCCTTAATTTTTATGGGCTTTAAAGTTTAAACAGAAGTCAATCATTGACTTTCTTATAGAATCATTCATAACTTTATGTATTGACACATGTTCAATGTGTATTTATTGCAAGACACGTGTCAATATATCATCATTTGTGAATAGCAATGGATGACTCCATAAGTCGAGTAATCCGATACTCCATAGCAAAACCAGACTTTAAACTATCTTTTGGTTTTCTTTAAGGGAATTGACGGGCAAGTTGATGGTATACAAATTACAAAGTGAGGACTTGTAAAATTGTATATATCTCTAGCTCTCATATCTATTTCAACTCATGTATCGGAATCTTAATTCACAATGTTTTTCAATGTTAAACGTTGATTACGTTCAGATTCAAATGAGATCTTTTTGACTTATTGTTTGGTATTATTATTTAATTGAAATATACCGTTAGACAATAGTAATCATTTATTGGAAAACATAAAAAAATATTAAAATCAGTAATACGAGCAATAATTTATTTCAACTAAGAGGCATGTTGATGTTGTCTAATAAGATTTTAGCTCATGTATGAATAGGGAAATTGTGGTTTTTGGTTCATTTTCTTTTTTTTTTTTTTTTNNNTTTTTTTTTTTTTTTTCTTTTTTAATGAAGAATGGGTTTTCGTTTTTGATTTTTAAAATTTGGTTATTTCAATTCGGTTCTTTCACTTTAAAGACCTTGAATTAACCAAACTACATAAATATATTATAATTGTTATATATATATTATTTTAGTGTATAAAATATTAAAATTAAATAAAAAATTTAAAAATTAATATATCTATTTATATTGTTAATTATAGAATATTTTGGTTAACCTAACCGAAATAACAATTGTTAATTATAGAATATCTTGCTTAACCTAATCGAAATAAATGTTATTTTGATTTAGTGTAATTTTTACTTTGGACAAAAAAATCGATCAGCCCAGTTTATGTAATTGAAGCATTCAATTAGTTCAGTTTTGCAATTTTGGCAGGTTAAGAGCATCTCCAACCGAATACACCAAACTCAAACCCATAATTGCGTTTTGCAGTACGGTTGGAGAAGGTCTAAGAACCGACAAGACTTCCATAATTGCATATAATTAAAGCATATATTTACTGTTCAATTTTCTTATTTTGAGACTGTCTAACCGTTAGGCAGATTAACCCGTCATGCTCTATGAATACAAACAGATACTTATACTACCAAATATCATACTTTGACATACTCCCGTTTATCATATTTTTTAAGGTACGACATTTTCTAATTAAAGTATACATATTTGTGAAAATAGTACGTCGACCTAATAGTTAAGCTAGCCTAACACAAGACACACTGTTAAAGCATAAATAGATCAATATAATGTGTATTATTTTCTTGTACTAAAATTAACTTATGTTAAACCATTATCTATTTATTTTGCATGGGTATACGGGCAATAATAACTTCAATAATTTCCAAGATTTTATGCAGATGTATTATAAACAATCAGTAAATTTATAAGCTTTTCACAATAAATATATATTCAGATACATAACCTCATACAATATAAAGTTATAAACTAAATATACTATCTTAAACTAGGTACAATTTTGAAGAAACACTTATGCTACTTAGTGGTCAACTATACAATCCTTTTTAACTTACAATTACTACTTGCATATAGAAAACTGATTGGTAGAGATATTAAACGAAGTATAGCTATTAAATGAAGTGAACCGCGTGTGAATTCGGCTTAACTCGCTCGTTAAGGCTTGAAATTATAATTTTCTTTTTATAGTTTTCTATTATTTAACTACTCTAATTTGGCTCTTTACTAATTCCCATGATCAACTAGAAAATGTAAACAACGGTATCACATCCTTTGTCATAACTCTTAACCTTGCCACATGACCACTGCCAGATGTGCGAATTGAGTCGACCAACGAATTAATCGAGACATAGTTCCAAATGCTAAAAAAACAATCATATGTGGAAATCTAATATCCGATTGTGTCCAACCAAGAGCATGATACTTTCTTGCAAAGCCTTGAGAAATGTGACCCTTTAGGCCAGGACACGTGGCTTTCTTGAATTCTGTTTTATGAAGAGTCCACCCGTGCTACTACCTCAAGGTGTGTCAAGTCAATTTAAAATGAACATGTTACATAATAAAATGAACATATGTAATTTACACATGTTCATTTTATTATGTAACATGTACATTTTAAAAATGTCTCGATACACCTAAGTATTTGCGATTTATTATACAAGCAAAATCCTAACACAATTGCGTTTTCTCATTAGTATATAATTTTTAATTATTGTGCATATATTTCATTTTTCCTTTTTCTGTTGGCACAAAAATCGTATGAAGTAATTGAATGGTTTTCTTATAGAGCTACTGATCACTTAATATATTGATGTATGTCAAACGTGTATTAATTGTAGGACACGTGTCAATATACAATTTATGAATAACTATGGATGACTCCATAAACCGAGTCATCCGCGGATGACTCAATAGCAGAACTGTTCTGTTGGCATTGATTGGATTGGAGTTGGATAATGTCTATACAGGTGTCCTTTGAAGCAGTGCTCAAGTAAAAGCCTCTTTTCCACCCCCCACAAAATTCCTCTCTCTCCCTCTCTCTCTCTCTCCCTCCCTTTACCAGTTAAAGGCTGAAAATAAGTGGGAATAAAAATCTGAGGGAACAACTGAATAAACTTTGAGCCCCTGTGGGTTCTTGGGCTGTTTGTTTAGGCTTGCTAAGCCACGTGTAAGGCTTGTTCTTGTTTTTTCAGCTTCAATTCTTGGTTAGAATTCATTCACCTCTTATTTTCTTTGATAGATAGTTGAATAATTTGGTTCTTGATTTTGATGGTTTTATTAGTCCCTTTTTTGTTGAGCTTCTGTTTTTGAAGATTGAACCCTGATTTTTTTTATTTATTTATTTATTTTTTTTCGGGATAAAGGGTGGATTTTGTCTGAAAATAAAGAACCCCATTTTCTTCAAGAGGCTGTGAAGAGTTGCCTTAGATCCAGGAAACCCATGTTCCATGTGGCAAAAAGCTAGCATCTTTATGGGCGTTTCCTCGTGAATCTTGAGGTGTTTGATTTTCCTTTTACCTAGTTTTTGTTTTTGTTTCTACGTGGGTTTCCCTTCTTGGACTTGTGGGTAACGGTTTTGGATTTGTGTTTTGTATTATCCAATTCTTGAATTCTTGATGTCAAAGTCTTGATTTTTCTATAAATGGAACTTTAGATCCTATATTTGACTGCTAGATCTAATTCTAGAGAATTCTTTGCCTTCTCACTTGTTTCTATATTGGTAGTGAAACTCTTTTATCTTGTATTTTGTCTTCCTGAAGGACTTACTGGTGGGCTTACAGCATTCTCAGTTCTTGAATTGGCGCCGATTTCAATAATCTCTATGGATCCCGATTTTTTCTTCCGATTTTCGTGAAGAGCCTCCATGATGGAAGAGATTTCTCCAGTTGTCCTTGGCTTAAGTACAATCACACGACTCAAACTAGAAACCGAGGCAGCAAGCCTTCTATCAGATACAGCAATGGTTATGAACGAGATGGTGGAAGATAAAGGAAAACCCATTATTTTAGTTCAAGAAGTTGGCGAAGAAGACGAAATTCTTTCGGTTGTGGATGACCCTAGTTTATTGACTAGTGTAGAGTTACTACCATTAGATGCTGCTTCAAATTTAAATGTGCCTCTAGCTACTTCTTCCGAGACGAGCTTACCCATTGCTGTCGAGATCGAGGGCACCGAGAACGGGCAAATACTTGCGAAGGTCATTAGTGTGGAGGAGAGAAGCATAAAAAGGAGATTATCTGGAGATATTGTGACTGTAGCTGGAAAACAAAATGAAGAATGTTCGAGTGGGCCCACAATCAAGTCATCGGTGGTTGCTGTCAAGTTAACTGGTGAAAAGGACTCTGGCAAAACCGCGGTTAAGAGCGTCTTTGAATTGGAATGTTTGCCTCTTTGGGGTTCAGTGTCCATTTGTGGGCGTAGATCAGAAATGGAGGATGCTGTTGTGGCCGTGCCTAATTTCATGAAAATTCCTATCGAGATGTTTATTGGTGACAATGGATTGGATGGGATAAGCCAGACTTTGAGTCACCTAACCTCGCATTTTTATGGAGTTTATGATGGTCATGGTGGGCCTCAGGTACGTATGATAATCAAAAACTGAAATTGGGTCTATCAACGGATGATTACTTGATTTTCTAATTTGAATTTTCTATTTTGGGAGCGTTGTGCTTTTATTCGACTGTTGGGGTAATGACCAGATTAAACTGAAACCGGTGCTTAGGGTCTAATTTATATACAGCAGAGATTCTTCTCTTTAACAATGTCTGTGAATTTAATGAGGCTACTATATATACATGTCATTTTTTTTTTGTCTGAAAAGCTTTTTTTAGTTGTTTTTCTGAACATAATATATTTTCCTACATTTTACAAGATATTTTGGGAAGATGAGATCAGAATTCAGACGTAAAAGAGTGGTTGAAGTGCTTCTGTTAGAGCTTGTAAGATATTTAATTATTTCTAATGACACATTAAACAGTAAAACTAATACAGGCAGTCATTTTTTTTTTTCCCAATAGAAAAGTTGAGATCTCCATCTTTCTAAAAATAGTGCGTAAGCTTAAGAGGTATTTTAGTTTGGATGCATATGAGATCCTTATTTAACACCCTGTATTAACATATTTTGCCGAGCTCGTCTCATTTAAACCTCTCTTGCTGCGTTAAAATACGAAATCCAGCGTAGTGCTGAATCCAATTTTGATTGCTAATGTAGTAATTAATTTTTTTCTCGATCTATTGAGATCCCTAATTAATTAGTCACATTCTTTTTTGTAGGTTGCAAACTATTGTCGTGACCGTATCCATTTTGCTCTGGAAGACGAGTTAATAAACATTAAAGATGTTATGGTGAAGGATATTGCTGGAGATCCTCGGCAAGTGCAGTGGGAAAACGTTTTCACGAGTTGCTTTGCAAAAGTTGACGAAGAAGTGAGTGGAAAAACGAGCAAAACCGTACCTTCTGAAGGAGATGATGACGGGGACATGTTTTCACCTATTGCCCCTGAAACAGTGGGGTCCACTGCAGTTGTTGCAGTTGTTTGTTCATCCCACATTATAGTCGCAAACTGTGGGGATTCAAGGGCGGTCCTTTATCGTGGTAAAGAAGCCATTGCATTGTCGATCGATCATAAAGTAAGTTTTTTTTTAGTTAAAAATGAAGTTTTAGAGGTTATTATGGGAAAATGGAGTAAATGCTAAAAATATTGTGGGTGAGTCTTTTCAGCCGAGCCGAGAGGATGAATATGCTAGGATTGAGGCTGCTGGTGGGAAGGTCATACAGTGGAATGGACACCGTGTTTTTGGTGTTCTTGCAATGTCAAGGTCTATTGGTAGGTCGATGTGCAGCCGTGTATTTGTAGGATTAGATTCTCATTTTATTTTCTTCATGGATGTGCATGGAAAGTCATGTTTTTATTTTATTTTTATTTATTTATTTATTTTTTTATGTTGTAAATGTCTATTTAACTGACAAATGTCGTTACTTTTGCGACTTCTTAACTGGAATTTAGAGCAAAATAGGGTTCATGGAAAACAGATTTTGTCTTGTGTGCCTTCGCTTTTTCTAAGGACGATATATAATATTATGCAGTTGAGCTCAAATTGCATATTTTTCCCCTTGTTTGTTCTCATCAGGTGACAGATACTTAAAGCCATGGATTATACCAAAGCCCGAAGTCATGTTCGTGCCTCGAGCCCGAGATGACGATTGCCTAATCATCGCCAGTGATGGGCTTTGGGACGTGATGTCCAATGAGGAAGTTTGTGAGTTGGCCCGAAAGCGAATCTTGATTTGGCACAAAAAGAACGGAACAAGCCCATTAGTGGAAAGGGGCCGTGGAGTGGATCCTGCTGCGCAATTGGCTGCCGAGTACTTATCGAACGTGGCCCTACAGAAAGGGAGCAAGGACAATATTTCCGTGATTGTTGTGGACTTGAAAGCCCAAAGGAAGTTCAAGAGTAAATCGTGAGTTTGCTTCTGTTACGATTATTAATTTGCTTATTCTTCTTCTTCATGATGATGATGATTATATAGTGCACGGTGCATAAGTAGTGTTTTGTCTCAATTATTGCATTTGATGACTTGATCCCATTTGTTTTTCTTGGTGGAGAAATCGAACGATATGGGAACATGGGAAAATGTATACGGATTATGGTCGCGAAGCGGTCTTCCTAAAATCGCCGTGTATATCGAATAAAAAGTGTTGTTTATGTGGTTAGCATTTGTTAATTTATCGTGATCTCTTTTTCCTATTCTTGCGTTTATGTGGGAAAATGTATTTGCCGATATTCTTGCGTTTGAATAGACTTTGTTGAGTAGTCCTCCGATCACGACAATAGACAGTGGAAGTCCTTTTTGCAGTTTTTCGCAATCTCTTTTCCTATTTCTTCCAGTTCGGTCGAGCAATTTTCTTCGTCTCCAAACACGTTTTCGGGGAGACGTCCCAGCTTCTAAACCCACAGAAGAAGAAATCAGTTGCAGTTGGCTTGAATTTTAGTTTAATCACTACCAGCTGCTAAAGAAATCAGTTGAAAATTAATAGCTAAAATCAGTTATAATGAAAAAACATTCACCAACCAAAAGAACTTTGAAATATAGGATTCAACTACATCATCTTATATATAAGAACCATCATTCTTCAACAACTAAAAGAAACATATGCACCTTAATATATATACCTCAAGTTCATTCATAAAAATACCAAATAAAACATTCATCCATAATTTAAAATAAAAAAAAATCAAAATAAAATCATTAATCGACAACGAAATAATCGAATCGAAACGAAACGACTAGAAAACCGGACAGCCATCAACGACCACTCCCCTTGCAGTCGGGCACGACGCCAAGTCACAATGCTCCCCAGCCGAACCCCACCACGAGACCCCTTTTTCCTCCATCCCCAGGCTAAAGTACAACAATACCCCCATGAAAGCCAGCCCCGCATCAAGCGCTGCCGACAAAACGTAGTTGTACCTCTGCCACCAACCCTTTTTGTATCGGTACACAAATAGATTGAAAATTGTCCCGACAACTATCCAGCTGTTGTAGTTGACAGACGAGGCCGGTGGCATCATGGCCGTGGCCCCGAGCAAAACGGGAATGTTGATGAGCTTTATCCATCCCTGGCTCGGGAATGCCTTGTGTAGCAGCCACACCACAACCGGGCCCAATGCACCCACAAGGAAACACCAGTTGAGCGCTCCGTAATTCCCGAGCACGCCGAAAATCCTCTTGGGCCCCACGAGCCCCCATATTACAGACGCATCATAGAAAACTCGGTCGCTCGGGCAGGTCCACGGGCTGTTTGGGGGCAGCAGCTGGTCTTGGCAGATGTTGGCCACGGTCGTCAAAAGGTACCATGCTACGCATACGTTTATCGACCCGGCTATAATAGTCCCCACGAGCTGGTTATACATATATATAATGTCGATTAGTTTTCGTTTGTGTGTGTGTATATATATATAAAGGAAAAATTGGGTTATATATACCTGAACTATGAACATGGACCTAGGTGGGATCTTCATGTAATGGCCGAGCTTGAAATCATTTAGAAACCCAATGGCTTGGCTCATGCTTATGTATCCGTAGGTTTTGAAGCAAACGTTGGCAATCGGCCTCCCGGGATATATCACTCCCATTATGTATTCTGTGATTACGTTAAGTCCCGGTGTCTGTTTTAACCGAAAAATGAAGTTCGATTAATAAAATCAGCTTTCGAGAGTTGTTTTCGAAGATTTCAATAAAAGCATTTATATATGTATATACCTGATTCGTAGTTGCTGTAATAATGCTTATGGGGAGCGTAAAGGCCAAGGCGAGACCCGCAGCGAAAAGTAGGCCCCACCACGGAAGCTGAACCTCGCTGTTCATGAAAATGCAAAGCGCGAGCGACACAACCAACGTTATCGCAAGCATCCCGTAAAACCACCAACCGGGTATCTCTTCATATTTTCTCATCAGCCTCGTGTGAATGTCCGTTTTACCCTTGTAAGACGTGCGAAAACGCCCCCAAATTTCCCTATTTTTATTATCATCATGGAAAAAAATCCGCAACATATATTAGAGGGGAAAATCGGGAAAAACGAACAAAATTCGCTAGAAAATCAAAAGAAAAGAAAATTTTATACTTCACAAATCACTTACTTCCCGTTAAACAGCGCGACATGAGTTAATGTCGCCATGACAGCCGCGAAATTGAGCCCGTACGTGAGCGCGAAAAACACACTCAAATTTATCCGACCCTGCTTCTCGTAAGCAGGCAAGTCGATCTCGAACTTATCATTCACGATAGACGACACGTCGTAGGTCCCACCGTTACGGTTAAACAAATGCGAGGAGAAAATGGGAAATGTCTTTGCACTATAGAGGTTGAGCCCCCAATAGGCGATCGGCATAATTAGGTAAACAACGGCCGCGTAACCGACAAAGACATTTACTATGGCGAAAAACGGAGAGACGAGCGGGCTACCGAGATAGGAAGCCACGACTGACCAGTCGAGGGTCATGGAGAATATGCCGAGGCCACGCATTCCCGAGCCGATTTGTTGGGCCCGAACCGACTTTGGGAAGGCGAGGCAGAGGATGGAGATGCTCGAGAGGGTCGGGAAGAGGTAGCCCGGGAAAATGTACCACGCGAAGCTGCACGCGAGGGCAATCATGAAGAAACGGGCGCGCGAGTTCTTGCGTTCGTCTTTTTCGTGAAGGGCTCTGTGGGAAGAAGAGGAAGAAGATTGACAGTTAAGTTAGTTAAGGGGATGGTAAATTGTGTAATTTGAAATGAAACAGAGAGGTTTATTTTTTATTTTTATTTTAATTATAATTTTTACCTGAAGAGTGAAACTTGAACGAGGCAGCTTGGCCACCACATCTCTGCAGGCTCTACGACGTACTTCTTCATAATCCCAGCCCATCCATAACCCAAAACCTGCCCCCCAAACAAGTGATTGATTAGTGAATGTTAGTATAGTGTGTATATATATATATATATATATAGAGAGAGAGAGAGAGAGGTAAAATAGAAACCAGGTGACAAAGTAAACAACAAATATGAACAATTCATTTTGGTACCATCCCAGTCGGGTGTTTTAACATAATTAGATAAGATAGATGATCCTAACATTTCCCTCGTTTTGAATAGTGAAAGTTAATATATTTGGAAGTAGAAAAAAAAAATGTACTGCATAATTTTCTCAAAAGTAATTAATTAGCCCCATAAGCAAATTGATTTGGTCAGATAAGGTAAATTAGTCCTATAAATTCAAATTACAAATTAAGTTGGTTTCACAAGTTGAGATATTCTCGGATATCAAATATCAATTCTAAAATCATATAAATTCCAAAAATGTGTTGAAATTTCTATTTAATGCAATTATGGTCCAACAATTCCCCAAAAAAACGTACATCCACCCTATCAAATACGACTCCAAATTCCAATTATTTGTCATTATTCTATACTTATATATTTATTCTATAATTGTATTTTTATATCAATCTCATAATAATTTACCAAAAAAAATATCGATTCTCTAATAAATCAAATTATTTGTCATTCTAGATTATTTATTTATTAATTTTATTCTAATTGTATCAATCTCATAATTTTAATTCACCCAAAAAAATCTCGATTCTCTAATAAATCCAAATCATTTGTCAATATATTCTAGACTATCTATTTATTCTAATTGTATCAATTTCATAACTTTAATACCAAAAAATAAATCTAGATTCTCTAACTTCTAAATATTTGTCATACTAGACTAAATAACATAAACATATGATTCATAAATTAAATTTAAATTTAATCAATATTATGTTTTGCCAAAATAACTATGTAAATTGTTAAAATAACTAAAATAAAAGGAAAAAGAAGGAAAGTAAGTAAACCTGAGTAGTGATAACAAGAATCCAACTGGCGATAAATGATATTTTTCTCCGGTAAATCGCCTTGATGATGTTAACAATGCTGACGGCGTAAGCCGTGCCGGAGCCGGCGTTTGCGAAAATCGAGATAAGCACGTGCTCTTTCATGTTAAACGGGCCCGGGTTCAGAGTAAACTCCCACAACCCGAACAGATTAAACTTCCTCTTGGGGAGCACGGCGGCCATGAACCGTCCGATCGGGAGAGTCGCCACCTGTACGGAGATCATAGTTATGGATAGTGGCTCCGTACGGTAGCTGAAGAAGGTGTTGAGAAAGGAGAGGAGCCCGCAAGAGAGGAGCCCGAGGAACCACATGCGGAAGGTCCAGACGGGTAGGGTCGGATCGTCGTCGTTGGGGACGGTCAGACGGACCTGCTCGACCGGTGAGTCGGACCACTCTTCGTCGTCGTCGTCGGCGGTTTTCGGGTGGTGTGGTGGAGCCTCCATTTCAAAGGAGGCCATCGGAGTTTTTCTTTTTTGTTTTCACTTTTTTTTTTTTCGTGTTTGTGTTTGGAGAAAATGTTTTGAAGGAGAGATTAATGATAATAGAGTGGGATTTTATAGAGTTGGTGTGAGATGGGAGAGACTGAGAGAGAGAGAGAGAGAGAGAGAGAGAGAGAGAGAGAGAGAGAGAGAATCTCTAATCCTAATAAATTGTGGAGATTGTTTAGGAATTTGATTGAGATTCTGATTACTATTAAAGATTACGAGTAAAGAATTAAAAAAAAAAGGAAAAAAAAAAAGAAGGTA